GACACGAAGCTGGGTGGGATTGCTAATTCTGAAGAAGACAGAGTCAAGATTCAAAATGATCTAGATAGTCTGGAACAGTGGGCTGAGACAAATAAAATGAATTTCAATAGAGATAAGTGTGAAGTCCTACACTTAGGTACAAAAAATCAAAGTCACAGATATAGACGGGAAGGACTTGGCTTGACAGCAGCACATGTGAAAGGGATCTAGGTGTTTTGTTTGATCTAGATTCAAAATGATCTAGATAGTCTGGAACAGTGGGCTGAGACAAATAAAATGAATTTCAATAGAGATAAGTGCAAAGTCCTACACTTAGGTACAAAAAATCAAAGGCACAGATATAGACGGGAAGGACTTGACTTGACAGCAGCACATGTGAAAGGGATCTAGGTGTTCTGGTTGATCACAAGCTAAACATGAGCCTGCAGTGTGATGTGACTGCAAAGAAAGCTAATGCAATCTTAGGATGCATTAACAGAAGCATTGTGCCCAGATCACGGGAGGTGGTAGTTCCGCTCTATTCTGGTATGGTCAGGCCTCACCTGGAGTACTGTGTCCAGTTTTGGGCACCACATTTTAGGAAGGATGCTGACAAGCTCAAGCATGTCCAGAAGAGGGCAACCAGGATGGTGAGAGGGTTGGAATCCAAGTCTTATGAGGAAAGGCTGAAAGAACTGGGTATGTTTAGCCTGGGAAAGAGAAGGCTTATAGGGGACATGATTGCAGTCTTCAAGTATTTGAAGGGCTGTCATGTAAAAGATGGAGCGGATCTATTCTCTCTTCCTCCGGAGTCCAAGACTAGATCTAGTGGGTGGAAATTACAAGGGAGTCGTTACCAGCTAAATATCAGGAGAAACTTCCTAACTGTAAGAGTGGTTGAACAATGGAACAGTCTGCCTCAGGAAGTGGTGGGTGCTCCTTTGCTGGATGTTTTCAAGCGGAGGCTGGACGACCATCTTTCGGGCATGTTGTAGGGCTATCTTTTGGCTTTGCTCCTGCAGAGTGCAGGGGGTTGGACTAGATGACCTGCAAGATCCCTTCCAACTCTAACATTCTATGATTCTATGTTCAATATTTTGAGTCGGGCCTCATCCCAAAGGCAGAAATTCACACATTTGGCACCCATGGAAGTTCCTTACCCAAAAAGACCATGTTCCCGTAGTTCTCCAGCATGACTTCCCTGTGGAGAGCTCTCTGGTCTGGATCCAGGAGCGCCCACTCAGCCTCAGTGAAATACACGGCCACTTCCTCAAAGGAAACTGGAGACTGAAAGAAAAAGCAGATTCCCTCCTCAGAGATCATGCCAGGCAGAGAATGCACACTGGAAGGGGGCAGTCAGGGAGGGCATGGAATGTGGACCTTGGCATGGGCAAAGGGAGTGGCATTCAGAGCCTCTTTCACTCAGGTACCTTTGCAGCAACTACAGGAGCAAAAGCCCCTCTGTTCAAGGGGGGGAGGAACTAGACAGTCACCCCACTCGTCTCCTCTACCTGGACTGGAGGTGCAGCGGCCGTTTCCCCTCCTCTGCCAAGACGAGGGCTGAACACCACCTGTCCACTGCCTGAGAGGGAGACAAAGAAGGAAGAACGATCGTTAGCCTAGACTCCCTCGTTCGTTTGCTTGTTTGAATCCTGCTTCGTGCACCCTCCTTCCCAGGGCTGTGAAATCAGGCACACTCGACACAATTTGTAAGAACTTTTAGTAAACTGTGTTATACAAATTAATATACAGTCAAAAATAGAAGACTGAAGTAAAAATGAGGAGGAAGTTCTTGTATTTTATTGCAATGAAATATGGAAAATAGGCCAAAGGACCCATCAAAAGGCACACTCGACACAATTTGTAAGAACTTTTAGTAAACTGTGTTATACAAATTAATATACAGTCAAAAATAGAAGACTGAAGTAAAAATGAGGAGGAAGTTCTTGTATTTTATTGCAATGAAATATGGAAAATAGGCCAAAGGACCCATCAAAGCTGACTGCTTTCTGAGCCCAATCAGGAGATACATGAAGTTAAATACCTAAAAATGACATTATCATATCATCATCATAGGAATAATATTCAAAAGGCATAATTGATTACAAAAACTTAAACAACATTTACATAAAAATCTCCTTATTGGTCAAATGTAAGAAAGGTGTGTCTATGCAATAGCGTCACATATTTACTTGGCATGACCTAAGCCATATCGGCTAAAGCTTGTTCTCACCCAAACAAAAGTGTTTTTCTCTGATACCAAGTAAAAGATCCTTTTGACCCAGACACTATGAAGTTACAACCTTAAACAATTAGAACCATGAACCTTCTCTCTTCTTTTGTACCAAAAGAATGTTATTGTCTTGTCTGTTAATAACATTAACTAAAAAAATCCCCTTGACCCAGAAAAAAGAGAGGCCTTCTATATAGCAGGCCTTCATTACATTCCAATAAAATGTTGAATCTATAATAAACCTATAAAAACCAAAGAAATAGGAATAATCAAAAAAGAGAAAAATCTATATAGTCCCATCTCTACTACAACTGTGAAAGAGAAATGCCAGATACCCATGAGCCTTTGGGCTTCTGACCCATTGAGATTTCTGAGAGAACTGAAATGTGCTCTGTCATCTCTGGAGTTCAAAAATAGGACAGCATCCCTGCTGGATCAGACCCAAGGCCCAGGAGCTCCGTCCTCCCCCCCCCAACTGGCCCCTCCCACAGGCCCTTCAGTCCGGGCTGGAAGGAGGAAAAGAGGGGGCAGAAATGACAGCACAAGATACATTGCTGTCATGTCCAGCGTATATGAAAACTCTAGGGTACTACTGATGGGTTTCCAGGGTGCCTGCTGATGCCCTGACATCACATCCAATCACGCATCACCCCCAGAGATCGGAGGGGTGGCCAGGCTACAGGCTGGCACCCATAGTCCACTCTCCTCTCTCTGACTGTGGCCCATCAGATGCTCCCAGAAAGCTTTTAACCAGGGGCACAGAAGGCAAATGTTGGCCATCAGCAATGTGTTTTCAGAGGTATGCTGCCCCAGAACATGGTGGTTCTATTCATTTGCCACGGCTAACATCTGTGGCCATATTGATCTACCTTTCATTTTCTAGGCTGTTCTTGGTCCCATTAATGGAAGGAAGGTAAAGGTTTCCCTTGCCCGAAAGCTAGTCAAATCTGACCTTAGGGGGCAGTGCTCATCTCTGTTTCCAAGCCGAAGAGCCAGCGCTGTCCGAAGACGATTCCGTGGTCATGTGGCCACCATGACTAAACGCCAAGGCGCACGGAACACTGTTCCCTTCCCACCGAAGTGGTACCTATTTATCTACTTGCAATTTCCTGCTTTCGAACTGCTAGGTTGGCAGGAGCTGGGGCCAGAGATGGGAGCTCACTCCATCACGTGGCACCTGGGTCTTGAACTGCTGACCTACAGACCTTCCATAGCCTGCAGGTTCAGCGTCTTAACCTCTGAGCCACCGCGGCCCCTAATGGAAGGAAAGTGACACATAAATATTTCAGTAAATGTGAATAAGAATGGAATTGCCTTCTATGAATCTTTCTAATTGCCCTTCAAGGGAATGGCCATTGCTACCTGCTGAGGCACTGAATCCCAGAACTTAACTTTGTTGTGTTCAGAAATATTTTCTTTTTCTCCTGTCCTAAACCTTCTACTCAACAACTTCACTGTTGCCTCAGTCCCATCTGGCCACCAAACAGCCTTACCATGTGAGAGGCCATCTTGGGTGCGTTCCTGGCCCTGAGCCCTCTGCCCTTCCTCCGAAGGAGATCCTTCCTCCCCAGAGAAGTTTGCTTCCATCTTCACCGCTGGTCCCCTCATCTGAAAGAGCAGAAAAGGAGATGGGTAAGGAAAGGAATGGAACAGGCCAAGGAGAAGGATCCTGTCCCACTCCCAGACTCTTCATCCCTGCATCAACAAGCAGAGCTGGTTCAACCATCGGGGGCAAGAGTCAGGGATAGGTTTTCTTCCCAGCCTAGTGAATTCTCTAGAGGCAGAAATATCTGGCTGGGAGGACTTAGGAAAAGGTTGTTGCTTGAACTGAGTGAAGGAAACCCCCTCACCTGCTCTGCCTGCCTCTTCTCCTCTGCCTGACTCAGGAGGAAACCTTCGGCCAGGGCCACCGCCTGCGAACTGGTCTCCGGCCCACATCCTCTGACCCAGCACTGCATCTCCGGGGGCAGGATGGCCAGAAATTGCTCCAGGGTCACCAAGTCCAGGATCTGCTTCTTGGAGTGTCTCTCTGGCTCCAGCCAATGGCTGCAAAGTCGATGGAGCTGGCTGCAAACCTCTCGAGGCCCCTCCGCCTCCCGGTAACGGAACTGCCGGAAGCACTGGCTGCGCAGATCTGTGGTCATAGTGTCGTGAGCCAAGATCTCTGGCGTAGCTCTTTCTCAGAATTCAACACCACTTCTTGTTTTGATGGAACAGGGACCTTTCTTTGATGTCTTGCCAGTTCCAGGTCCTTCCACCTCCTTCCCTTGGGTTGCCTCCAACTATGGAAAGGTACCCTTACTCACGTGGCTATGAAGAGAGAGAGGAAAACGTATCAAAAAGGCAGAAAGAAACCAGAAGGAGATGGAGCCACATCACCAACCCTGGTGAAAAGTCACCCAGTGATTGCCCCAGGAATCTGATGGAGCGTCCTTGTTTAGTTTGCGGGTCAGGATTAAGGTCATTGTGCTACATTATGTATCAGGCTTTCTTAGGTATGCCTGTTTCGTCCTTCCGGAAGTGGCGGCGGCTACAAGCATGGACGGCTTCAAAAGGGAATTAGATAGGCATATGGAGAAGAGGTCCATCAGTGGCTATTAGCCACAAGGTATAGATAGGGGCTCTGGGGGCAAGTGATGCTCTGTCTTCTTGGTGCTTGGGGGGGGGCAAGAGTGGGAGGGCTTCTAATGTCCTGGCCCCACTGGTGGACCTCCTGATGGCACCTGGTATTTCTGGCCACTGTGTGACACAGAGTGTTGCACTGGATGGGCCTTTGGCCTGATCCAACATTGGCGTCTCTTATGTTCTTATGTATCTATTTGGCTCTTTAAAAATCTGTTGCTGATGTTATGATCTTGGCCTCCAATGGCCACATATCAGTCTGTCTTAGGGGCTACTCTCAACACAAACTGTAGCCCAGTACAAAGTGGCTGGTAAGGTCCTTAAGCATTTCAGCTACCTCCTCAATAGGTCAGAAGTGTTAGACAATCACTGTATCCAGGCAGCCAGCAGAGTGGAAGGGGGAGAGAGACCGTAAGTCTCTGTAGACCAGGGCAGAGGGGGCTGCTTGGATAAACAGGTTGGAGCAACAGACCCCCCCAGGAAAACAGCAAACAGGACACGAAGCACTGCCCCAAATGCTGTGCATGATTGTATCCCTTCGGATCACGCCTGGGAGTCCTCTGTGGGCCTCCCTATGACCACCATGGCTGAGGATTTATTTTGTTTCACAAAATTCAGATCCTGCCTCTCTGCCCCCACAAGGGCCACCAAGGTGGCTAACATATTAAAACATTTATGTATTTATCTGCTTGATTAAAAGTCCGCCTTGCTCGATGGGACTCCAGGGAGCTTGCAGAGTGACTCTGTACAAATCGACAGGACGGCACACATTCAGTAAACTATGAAATAGAATTTTGGTTGCAGAACCAACCAGAAATCTGAAAGACAACATTGAATGAAAGCATAAATGGTGACATGAACCACTAAATGATGCAAAATTACATTGTAGGATACAACTTACAACAGTAAACCCCCCCCCCACACAATCAATGTTCCCTCTAAGCCGTGGAGTCTTGTGAGCAAAAATTCTACTCTGTCAGCTACTGGCCATTAAAGTTGTGAGCAAGCAATTTGGCTACTGCATAAATTAGTTTGCTCTGGAGCCCTCCTTCCTGAGCGAAGACAAAGTTGTGTGAGCTGGAGGCTAAAAAACTGTGAGCTAGCTCACGCTAACTCAGCTTAGAGGGAACACTGCACACAATAGGATACGACTTAAAATAAGCTACACACATTAGTGCCCTGACCTGGATAGTCCAGGCTACCCCGATCTCGTCAGATCTTGAAAGCTAAGCAGGGACCACCCTGGCTAGTATTTGGATGGGAGACCTCCAAGGAATACCAAGGTTGTGACACAGAGGAAAATCACCTCTGAATGTCTCTTGCTTTGAAAACCCTACGGGGTCACTGCCAGCCAGCTGTGACTTGTGGGCAACAACAATAAATATACATTAGTATGCACCACCGTCCCTAAGAACTCCTCCAAGCGGCTTTGTCAATAATTTTGGACACTGCAACCCTAGAATCATAGAGTTGGAAGGGACTTCCAGGGTCATCTAGTCCAACCCCCTGCACAATGCAGGAAATTCACAAATAACTCCCCCACACACACCTGCCCAGAAGATGGCAAACCCTCCCCCCCCCCCCCTTCCAGGATATCCAGCCAAATTGGCCTGGAGAAAAGCTGCTTCCTGGCCTACTGCCTCTGTAGGAAAGCCCTCTTGGAATCATTCAATATTCCATAGCCAGGAGAGTGGGAACCTGTCTGGCCTCCTCAGGCAGTCCATTCCACAAGGTGGGGGCCTCAAAGGAGAAGGCACGTGGACGGGCAGTGGTTGATTCTACCCATTTGCGGGGGGGGGGCGGCTGCAGAACTCCCTACTCAGATGAGGGAAGCTGTCACGGCAGAGCCTAGAAGGAGAGACTGTCTTGCAAGGATGAGGCTCCAAGACCATGAAGGGCTCTGGATAGAATAGCCAGTCCTTGAACTTGCACCCGGTAACTGACAGGCAGCCAGCAGAGTGAGTGCAGAAGCGGAGTTACATGCATGCTCCGTCTAGTTGCCAATAATAGCTGAGTGGCAGCGTTCTGATTTTGAGGGAAGACCCATGTACAGTCATCAAGTCTGGATATCATCATGGGATGGATCCAGGTGGCCAGATCAGCAGTTATTAAAGTCAGGCTAAAGTCAGCTGTTCTTAAAGTCAGCCTTTTTTGCAACTGCATTAACTTGCTTCTCTGGCAATCCTGCTGGGTCCAGTAAAACCCCCAGGCTCTTAAGTGAGCCAGCAAGGATCAGCTGAACTCCACGGGAAGTGGGGAGCAGAATGTCCTTCAAGGGCTCCACCTTCCCAGCTGGCATTACTTCCACCTTTCCACGATTTCGTTTCCATTTGTTCACTCGCAGGCATTTAATAACTACAGCTGCAAGGCGGCAATTCAGGACCTCGGCACCATCACCAGGAAATGTGGAGAAGGATATAGATTGATAGCTGTGCATCGTCTGCAGATGGATGAGAGCCAAGCCCAAAACTAGAAAGGGTTTGGTCTACATAAAAGGAGAAGAATGACGCGGGGGGGGGGGGGTTGCGCCCTGGGCGTCCCAAGCGGATAACTGTTCTAGCCCGGTGGTCATTTTTAGGGTTCGGTCCCTGAGGAAGGATTTGACCCACTCCGACCCGCAGCACCTGATGCCCCATTCTGCACCCAGGGCAGGGTCTCCTGTGTGCCTAGGGCAGCAGAGGAAGCCATTAGTAGGTAGAAGGAGAGGTCGGACCTTTGTCTACATGGATCAGTCATTTAAAAACTATTACATTAGAACTATTTAATCCCACCCATCACCACCTCGGGTCAAAAACACTCGACAGCCGCATTTCTCTCTTCCAGGACTGAAAAGCTTATCCCCCCCCCCAGAACTCACTTGTGACTAGACCTTCCCTAGATCCAGCCGCAAGGCTTTCACCCTTTTCTCTTTTTCCCCTCCCGCCCCCAACTCCTTGCTCGGCCTCTCTAGGAAGCAGCTCGCTCACTTTAACCCTCTCGGTGCTGCAGACGAAGGAGAAAGGCTTCAGCCAGCTCCGCGACGCCCTCTGATGCGCTTCGGCGGGGCTTCTTCTCGCGAGTAACTCTGCACGGGGGATCCCAGGCTCTTCAGCCCTCTCAGCAAATTAGGGCGAAGGAGATGGAGGCAAAGTCCAGCCCGCTCCCCTTCTGCCATCTGGAACAGGCTGAACAGTCCTCAGATTCAATGGTGGTTTTAGGATTGCACGGGAAATGCCTGCTCCTCCTGTACCCCCTTTCGCCAAACCAGCCTGCCGGGAGAGCCCCCTCCCTCCCTCTTCCTCTGCCCTCCGCGGGGGGTCCCGTTGGGAGTCTCCCCTGTCGGAGAGGGTCGCCACCAAGTGTTCCCCCTAAGCTGAGTTAGTGTGAGCTAGCTCACAGTTTTTTAGTCTCCGGCTCACAGATTTTTGTCTTAGCTCAGGAAGGATGGCTCCAGAGCAAACTAATTGATGCAGCCGCTAAATCACTCGCTCACAACTTTAATGCCAACAGCTCACAAAGTAGAGTTTTTGCTCACAAGACTCCACAGCTTAGAGGGAACATTGGTCGCCACCTCCTGCTCGGGACATTCCTGGAGATTTGGCCCCTTTCTCTTCCCTCGGAGGCTTTGGGGGGATATTCAAAGGACTCTTTTCAGGTGGGGGGGAGGTATAAGGAAGGGCACCTCTGATCTCACTGATTCTACTTCAAGACAGTTTTAGGCACGGGTGTGTGTGTGTGGTGAGACTCAGGGGTCCTGAGTACCAGCACCTTGGGGGGGATGTGCATTCTGCCCAGTCCTGAGAGGGGAACTGGTGTCAAGCCCTGGCTCAGTGGTGGAGCATCTGCTTGCCATGCAGAAAGCCCCAGGCTCAATCTCCGGCATCTCCAGTGAGAAGGACTGGATAAGATAAGCATATGGAGGAGAGATCCATCAGTGGCTATTAGCCACACAAAGTGTAGATAGAAATTCTCAGTCTGGGGCAAGGGATGCTCTGTATTCTTGGTGCTTGGGGGGGGGCAACAGTGGGAGGGCTTCTAGTGTCCTGGCCCCACTGGTGGACCTCGTGATGGCACCTGGTATTTTTTGGGCACTGTGTGACCAGAGTGTTAGACTGGATGAGCCATTGGCCTGATCCAGCACTGGCTTCTCTTATGTTCTTATGACCAGGCAGTTGGTGATGGGAAAGACTTCCACCTGAGACCCTGGAGAGCCGCTGCCAGTCTGAGTAGGCAATACTGACATTGATGGACTCAGACTTCGTTTTGCTGCTTTCAGG